TTATTTATTATTTATTATTTATTTGATTTATATCCCGCTCATCTGGTCAGATTGACCACTCTGAGCGGCTTCCATAAAAAAATATACAATAAAGCATAAAAATTATTACAAGTAAACAACACCACATATAATAAAACAAATAGATAGAAAGAGAAAGGAAATTAAGTATTGACAGGAGGGAAGGCCTGAACATATATATGAGCTACTGACTTCCAAAATGTGCTAATTAAGAGCTCTTACTCAGATCTTGCAAACCAAAAGCATCTCGGGTTCTCTCTTCCTAATGCCCCTGCCCCAGCGGTATTGTCTTTTCCAGTAAATTCTGCTAAGATCTTGCAGACTCGCAACTGTGGATTTTCTTCTCGAGTCAACTCATCCCATTTTAGGTCTTTCTCTTTTTCTACTCCTGTTAGCATCACTTTTTTTTGTTAGTTCTGTATTTTCATATGTGCAAGGGAGAATAGCCTTTATCTACTCTTTTTCACTCTAGTCAGAATTCAAGCTTGACTAATTGGGCACCCATTTATTTGCCTTTACATGCAAGGTAAAATAGGCTGCTACTTGCTCAAAGTTTGTTATGTTTGATACAAAGGGGAGAGTGGAGAGCATAAAGGCAAATGCTGGTAAAATTGGCAGCAGCTTACTTTAAAAATGACCTCCAGAATTGCCTCTGACAGTTCAATGGAAATGCACCTGCAGACTTGCTTTGAACCCGATGTGAAAACCTTGTATACAAAATGCAAGGTTTTGCTAAAGATTTTGATGACTCACTTCATCACAAGTGTAACATATATAAAACCAGTCCTGATTAAATATTCAGATTACAAACAGAAGATGTAGCTTGTGGTGGTTTTTGATGATTTGTTATGCATCCGCAGATGGCAGATCTGCAGCAAGAACATCAAAGAGAAATTGAAGGCTTGCTGGAGAACATCCGGCAGCTTAGCAGGGAGCTGCGGCTTCAAATGCTCATCATTGACAACTTTATACCTCAGGACTACCAGGTGAATAGTGAAGTCCTGGGCTTCTGCTAAGGTTTTTCAGCTGTAACTTGGCGGCCGGGGGGGGGGAACCTATTTTATGATTCTGTTATTTCGAACAGCAATTTGTGACCAGAAAGGGGCACAAACCGCCAGTAAGGCCCAGTTTGTTTAGTACCACAAGAGGTGTTTGGTGTTCTGGTGCCCTGACCCCTCCAGAGGGCCCCCTCTCAGAAGCAGAGTCCCAGTTTCCCTGCCCTGCCGCCTCTGGGTACTGCCTCTCAGTGGGCACCTGCCAGAAAGAGGAAGGGTGCCGAACTGCTAAACACCTATTTCAGCATTAAATGCACCAGGCTGAACCGTCAAACTAGAGATTTGTGCCCATCTCTTGTTGTAAACTGCCAGCTCCTTCCACAGCAGGTTTCCCAAGCTCTCCTTGTAATGTTTGGAGCCCAGATTTGATGTGAAAGGGATTAGCAGAATGGTTGCTTACCACCATGCTCAGGTGATACTTGACAAGCATGGGAAGGATCTGTGAGTGCAGCATTCATCCATGTAGTCTATGAATCATTTTATTTATTTATTTATTTATTTAATAAGGTCTCTGGGCGGCTTACAAAATTTAAAATACAATAAAAATTCAAAACAATTAAAATACAATCATGAATCATGAAGGCTATATGAAAATTCCAGTTCTGTGGCAGTATATGTCTGAGTGCCAGCTGCTGGGGAGTGACTGAGGCAGAGGGCAATTAAAGACTTCTAGGGTTCTTGATGAGATGGCTTTTTGGTGCTCCGATGTTCTGACTCCTTGTCAAATCACAATTGGCCTAGTTCATCTGTAATGAAAACAGATAGGGAAGGCTCAGCACTGGGATTGGGCCTACCATTTATTACAGCAGGACAACTACCTCGAGCAACATCTTACTAGTTATTTCCTTTAAAAAAGAACTCCTAGGGATAGGGAGAGGTGCTGTGGGATTTTCTCACTCCTGTGCCAAAATAACATGGCTGGCTTTGGATGCAAAGCACATTGATTAGTGTGGGCTATGGAGCTGCATGTGCTATTCTGCCATGGGCTGCAAATGTTCTTTGAGCCAGCCCTCTTCAGCGCACCTGGGGAAAGTAATTTTCAGAAGGGATCTCCTAGGAGGAGGTGGATCTGGTGCTCAACCTGACTTTACCTTGTGATTTCTTTCAAGGAAATGATTGAAAACTATGTTCACTGGAACGAAGACATAGGAGAATGGCAGTTGGTACGTAACTGTGATAAATGGGAGCTGGTGGTGTAAACTGTTAGCACAATATAAAGAGACCCCATGTTAATTTCCCAGCATTGTCCACATGGTCTTGGTGGAAATAAAAGCAGAAACTGGCTGGTATTGTGAACACAGTGGGGTGCAGAGTACAGTATATTGTTTTTGTTTTCCCTTTTTCCTTTATGGAATGGCTGCTTCTTACACATCTATCCCAGTCCTGCTTCTGTTTTCTTGGAACTGTCTCACCAACTGCAGTGGAAATCTTTTCCGACTAAATATGTCAGGGATTGCATTGCTCCCTCTGTTTACCAGCTTGTTCTGGGCAAATGGAGAAGAGGAAACTTCCTTTCTTCAGTCTGTAAGATCTTCCCTCACTGGAAGTAGAGGCTCTCACAAGAGAGCAAGTACTGGTTTGTGATAACTAATTTTCTTTGTTTCCTTTTTTGTTTAAGAAATGTGTGGCATATACGGGCAATAACATGAGAAAGCAGACTCCAGTGCCAGATAAAAAAGAGAAAGATGTAAGTGACCCTTTGCACATTGGGACTCTTGAAACTGGCATTTGTCCCTTTGGCCACAGTATCTATTTGTATAGGATGTTTTTGCAGTTTTCATGGAGTGCTTTCTTATGACCTGCAAATGTCAACTCACCATATTAATTTTTGCCGTCATTCAGCCCTTCGAGGTGGACCTTTCACATGTATATCTAGCTTACACTGAAGAGAGCTTGCGACAGTCTTTGATGAAGTTAGAGAGACCAAGGACTTCAAAAGGGAGATCAAGGCCCAAAACCGGCAGACGGTGAGATAACTGCTGTAAAATACTGTTTTTGTGTGCAGGTTGAACTTTCTATAGATGTTCTAACAACATGACCTGTGCCAAGGCTCTGTGCATGCATGAGGATCATCCCCAGGCTGTTCAGTGCAACTCTTTGCGGATTGTTAAGGTTGTTGACTGCACACAGTTGTTCCCATGTTAAAAGAGAAAGAGGTATCTCTATTTGGAGTGCTTATCAGAACTGAAGGATTCAGGTTTGCAGAGTGAACCAACTTTGGTCTCCATTTTCACAATGTGCATGGACGCACAGAAAAATTACAGAAATGGCATGAAGTATATAACTGTAGATCTCAGGCGGAGATTAGAAAGTTACTTTTATGGATCACAAGTTCCAGACTTGCCCAGCGAGTATGACCATGCTAGCTGAAGGGTTTTAATAACTGTAGCCCAAATAAGGATTTTTTTCAAACTGATCCTTAGTTTGTATAGGAGAATGACAAATCCTTGTGTAGGAGAATGACAAATTTGGGTATGTAGCTCAAATAAGGATTTTTTCAAACTGATCCTCTTTGTATAGGAGAATGACAAATCCAACATAATAGGATAATTAGTCTCATAAATGTGAGGGTCAGTGGCAGGAAGGGGGGAAGGGATGGTTCTCCCCCTCTTGGAATTCGAATGTGTTTATTATTCTAATATGCACATACAGACACGGAGGATTGGAGTGGAGCACTACACAGTTCACTGCCACCAGTTCATCAAAAAAATTCGTGGAGACATTCTTGCCAACAGTTTGACATTACAAATGGGCAGGGCTTTCTTTGTCTTTTTAATGGAAGCTTTTTCTCTACATGGCAGAGCTTGAATGGTACACACATTTTTATTCTGGGACAGCCCTGATTGTACAATTGTCATTGGTGACACAACTAGCTTCAAAATATGTTGACTTTATCCTATTGCAGATAATCAGCTCTGGTGTTGCCACATCACTTCATCCAAGCCAAGTATCCCCACCCTCGCCCCCAGTCTCCACTAGAGCAGGCCCATTGCACTAAATGGGGCTTCTTAGTTCCAAGGATCATAAGTTCCATTTATTTCATTCAGTCTAATCTGGTTGAGACTAACATTGGATAATGCATAATGCATTTCAATGATTTCAGTTTTCACAGGATAATCTGTAGTTGTCTAACTGCTACAAATACTGTATGACATAGGAGTTACTTTGATTGTACTGGGTGCCAGTGCCAAGGGTATGACTGATGTCTTGGATGAAATCAGCTCTGGTGTTGCCACATCACTTCGTCCAAGCCAAGTATCCCCACCCTCGCCCCCATTCTGTAGTTGACAATGTCCAACATTGATAGTTCTGCTGCCTCTGACTCCTTCCTGCTACTGCATCCCTGCCTACCATAAGTTGTGGCTTAAATTGCACACTGCACCCATTCAAAAGTAATGACTACATCTTCTGCTTGAGCTTGTTCTTTTTTAAATGCTATGCTCTATATCTGCCCTTTTAAGAAGAAAACACTTCAGTTAACTTCCTCAAATCACCTGGTTTTTAGGTTTATCATTTCTCATGTGTGCTTTTGATTGGAAAACCATACATTTCTCTCTTGCAATCATGAGTAATGTGGGCTTTCTTCTTTTCCAAACAGAAAACGTTCTGCAAAATCAGGAGCTGTGATCGATTCGTTGCTTCAGTAGACTGAAATGGTGGAATTACGGAAAAGATGAATATGTGACTTAATGCTTGGTTGAGATATGCAGAGTTTGATGCATTCTTGACAAAGAAGTAGTTAGAATGGCCTGCAGTTGAGATGAAAAGAAAATACATTTCCTTTCCTTGATTTGCCATTGTATCATCTGTTACATTAACATACACTCTCTTCAGTCTAAACTGTGTGGTGACTGTAAACTTGTCAGTGTTACTACTAATACCACTCCAGGGATTGTATAGGGGAAGCTGTTGGGGGGTGTTCCATGTTGTAAGTGATATGTATAGAAAAGGAAGATGGTGTGTGTATGCGTATGTATCTGTCTAATTTTAAGCAGATTTGCCCTGTTGTAAGTAGAGAGCCAGAATTCCATACTACAGCTTTGCTTTATGCATTGCCACTCATACTATTCCATGTCTGCACTGGTACGGACTACCACTCTCTCCAGAACTGGGAGCTGCAGAACCATGACCCATCAACATTCTTCCATCTTAATCCTCTACTATACCTGTACAGCTATTTTCCAGTTCGTTTACTGAATACATCAGATATGTAAGCTTAATTCCATGTTGTGAAGCAAGGTGATGGTGGGCTGCCCCCTTGTCTGGAGGGCAGAGATTGGGCATCCTTATAAATTTAAATTGCAGTATGCATTTAGATGGGTCATTCTGGGAATAATCTGATAAGCACTATTATGCAACTTACATTAATTTTAGTAGGGGGTTACCACGTTCCAGTTAAACTTACATGGCGGTGGCAGTGCCAAGTTGCCTTATGCTCTTTGTCCTCTTACTCTAGAAAAATATATGTTCACATTAACAGCAACCTAAACACAAGGGAAGCCATGTTTTTGCTTCCCGAGGATATAGTGGTAGGATGTATCTGCATGGCCAATAAACTGTGCTTTCTGGACCACTGACAAAGGGTCATGCAAACATCTGGTGGTCTTATCCCCAGAATGTGTGCACTATAGTCCACACTGTTCCTTTCCCTTGTATCATTCCATCTCACCTCTATTTTGATTGGACATTTAAAGTGTAATTTCTTTCTTTTTAAAGTAATTAAATTAGTTCCTTGTGGCATTCCATGGAAACAGTTGGCTTCTACTAAAACTTTGTCTGATATCATAAAATACTGCATGGCATTTGAGACTTTCAGAATGAAACATGGTAATGTTATTCTAGAGGCAGCTCACATAAGTACTGTAGTTCTTTCTTTTAAAAAATACTTAGTTCTTTTTGTACTCATTGCCTAAATGAGCCTTTTTCATCTGATACTGGACTTCAGTTCTTGGTATCGTGATGCAGTGTGGTCATGTGGAAGCCACCCGAATGGCAGAAGTGTCCCGAAAACATCTAACCTAAATGAGTTTATGGAAAAAATTTGAAAACGTATGACTTGTGCTTTTCCCAGGATTCTCCCCAACATGTTAGAATCTCCTTCATTGCTGCTCATCCAGCAGATGATTTACACAGTCCGGAGGCAGTAAGGTTTACAATAGTGTAAGCAACTTGGTGAATCACTACCCACTCTCTAGTAATTCCTCTTTCCACTTAAGAGATAAGCATTCCTGCTCATCATGCTGTGTGTTTATTTGATACCTGCCAATTTCCCAAATCCAGTCTCCTCTTTTTGAAGATCTTTTGCTGTTGCACCTAATATAACAATAATTTTACCTTCATAATGTGGTGACTGCTGGACACAGTCTGTTACTGTATGTATTTTAGTAGTCTTAACTTTTAATATGGTACTTGATTGTATCATCTGTATTTTAAGAAGCTGCAATGGCTGATGTGAAATACTCCATACAAAAAGAGTATTTTGATTATACTTTGGTAGCAGAATTTGTAATTGATGGCTGCTGAATCTTACTGATTATAACAATTGCTGTTGGTCATAGTATTCCTCATATTTTTATATTTTTTATATTTTCATTTTTTATTACTGTGTCAATTTTTGCAAAATGTGGATCCCATATTTTGGTGGAGAATGAAGGTGGGAGAATAATGCTTTGGGTTCATAGCTGGGTCCAAAACGAAAACAAAATACATCTTTTAAAAAATTGGTGGTACTATGTATGGACTAAGGAGAGCCTGATGTGGTGGTTCATAAAATCCTTACTCGTCATTTTTATTTTGAGTATAGTATTTTTAAAAATTCAGTATATAGTTACTTAAATTGGGTGACAAACATTAAGAGGCTGGGATTATGACCTCATCTCAGATGCTGGTCTGAATTTTCAGCTTCTCCAGAGTACAGAGACCTCCTTACTGCCACAGTATGCTCCATGGTAAAAAATGTGGCATTTCCAAAGAAGCTGAAAGTTAATATAAAGCTATATAAGCATCAATTTTGGAATTCACTTAAGTGTTTCTGGATGTTCCATCAGAACTGGTGACTGTTTTGATTTTGGTAACCGAATGTATTCCTAGCCCTCAGATGAATGAGAAGCACATTGGTCCTTAACTTTCTAATCCCTGCAGAGTTGCATCTGCTGGTGTCAAAAGATACGTGGCCCTGCAAATGTTAGCCATCTCTTGGCAAGCATGGATTTTAAATTTCCAAAGCCAAAGCCGTTGAAGAAAAGGTTACAATTTGTTGTGAATTATTCCTGTGCTGATCAAAGTCAGTCCATGCATTGCTTTGGCTAATGGTTAGTGTTTTTTTTTCAGAACCTGCCACACAGTTACAAAGTCAAGATACATTTTAGCACACAGTCCACAAGGCCAGTGTGTGCTGCAAGGTACCACAGCTGAGGAGCTGTGAAATATTTTCATATACCGGCAGCAGTTGTGGTCTAATGGCCATTCATCATTCTACCATGATTTCTGAATAGAACAGTCTGGCTCTTTTACAATTAGGACCTAATGATAAAATGAACATGCAAGGAAGACACTTTTAGCCTAGAAGCACAGTTCAGTGCTTTTCAATCTTCTGTTGGCTCGCATGTGATGTGAGCATATCCACCCACCCCCACAGAGCCAACAGTCATGTTAATTCAGAAAAATCAGCCTGAAGCCTCTGTTCTTTCTTCTGTTTCTACTGCAATATCTTTAATGATTTGTATATAGAATGTTTTGAGATGTTGCTTTTAAATCATTAAATCTTCCCTAGTTCTTGGTTTGCAAGAAGAGAAGACAGGAGGGAAAGCCTCTCTCTGTGACTTTTGCAATTATTTACCTTGTATTCTTTACACTTTAAATTATAGGAAATAATTACTGATCCATGCCATTGAGCCTGTATATAAGGAGGAAAGGGGGGGGATGTACAAATTATCCCTATTTATTGTTTCTTTAGAAAGTTAACATTTCTTGTTTGTTGTTCTGTTGTGTATGTTGTATATAGTGGTATAATGTCTCAACACTGAGCATGTTGATGCCAAGAAATAAACATCTTGGGTTCCCAATGTATGCATTTTCTCTCTCCCTCTAGACTCCGTCCATGATTGGATTTCTCCTTGTTCTCTCATGCCTCCTGAGCATACTAGGGGTGGAGCTGCTGCTGCAAAAGGGAATATCAATTGTGCTAGCAGAATGGAGCCTGTTTATCTGCCAGCAGAATGAAATCTGCTGGCAGATGAACAGCATAAGAGACAGCAGTATATGTATATCTGACTCTTCTCCTGGAAACTCTAAAGAATATAACAGTGACCATATTAGAAGGAGTAGCAAAAGGCACTTGGTAAATTTTAACATTAAAACAATAACCAAAATCTTGTTGCTTAATGTAGTAAGTTGCACTAACATAAACCCATTGAATCAGTGGGGATTTGGTGAGTCAACTCCCTCAAGTTCCAATGACTCAAATAGGCCTATTCTAACTGCAACCTATTTTACCATAGTAAGTATCAGAGCAGGTCCCTTTGAATCAGTGGAACTTAGAGAGGAGTTGACTCACCAAATCCCCACTGATTTAGTGGGCCTACTCTAGTGCAGTTTACTATGCTATGCAACAGGATATGGGCCAATATGTGTTATCTTTGTTGCAGTGAGCTACAAGACTTCGTTGTGAAAACAAGTCTTGTAACACCTGTTGGCTGTGTTGATGTAGCGTGGTGGTCAGAATATTTTATTGGCTGGAAGCAACTTGTAAATAACAGAATGCAAGAGTCCAGCTGTTTGGCGTCAAAGTGGAAACTCAATTTAGCTGAGAAGAATCTCACAGTAGAAGAATGTCATAGAGAACATGTTGGAGAGCTCAGAGGTGACAGAGAGAGATGCACTAACTAGCCCAAAAGCTGGGACAAAGCAGGCAATTAGTTTTAAGTGGTTGCCCCCCACAGGTTGTGTATCGCTAGATCACAGTAAATATAGCTGCTCTGAACAAGGACATTTCGTTTATCAATCGTGACAAATTGGCTGGAGTGAGATTTGAGCTAGAAGTTCCTGGCTGATGAGATTATGTGTCTAGCATAAGAGTTAGTTTCCACTGAAAATCACTTTAAAAAAAAATTACAGATTGATTTGTCTTTTAAAAGTATTTAAACAGAAGTGCAGTGTTATAGAGTATTTTGTAGAGTCCAGCAGAATTTCTTCCAATGCTTAGGAAACACCAGAATCTTAGATTGTACAACATTAAGAGGCAAAAGGTCAGTATCACAATAAGCTGCAAAGGCCACCAAGAGCCAGTTTAGGCCCAGCTGGGTTAAAGATAGAGCTACAGTGGCATCTGTGTGTAATAATAACAGGGTTTGCTGGGAGGCGGGTTTTGGAAAATGACCCCTGACTGTCCTTAGGTAAGGGCCCAAATCATTTCTGAACAAATTAAAAAGATAGGTGGCCAGACTACAGCCCTTCTTAACCTTCCCATTGCTCTGCTCAACCTGCCTTTTCAGAAAGAAAGCTCCCATAAAGCACTGGGGCAGGAAGGGCAGTAAAGAGAAGCACTCCCTCTCATAGCAAAAGAAATGTGTGGTCCCGTGCATCCTGAGCACTAGAATTTCCCCATCCCTCTCTTACATCAAGAACATCCATGCAAAAGAACTTCATTGATCCACATTGATGATAAAAAGATTTTACTTTTACATTATCACTCCCTGAGAATAAGACTGCTTCCCCTATTTGCATTTTAATTTAATTCTTATTTCTGCCCCAGTGCTTTATGGGAGCTTACTTTCTAAGAAGGTTGGAACATGGACTTCCTGCTGGCAGCTGCAAAAAGAAAAAAATAAGGCCACCGGCACATGGTGAGCAGCAACGGAGCCTGCGATGGCCCACTCTGGCCCAGTGACAACGCCCCCCCATGGTGATTGGGCCAGTGCAGGGCAAGGGTTTGGAGCCTATGCTCACCAGATCTTAAGTCCCCCTGCCCGCCCACCCTAGTTGGTTGCATTACTTTTCTGTGCTCATAGGTTGATATGGTTATTACTTTGTTGGGTTGTTAGTTTTATATGTTCAGTCAACAACTTGGAAGGCATTTTCGGGCATTGGGAAGGATCCAACCAGTTGCTGGATGGCAGGTGGTGACCTGCATGTCTGCGTGGGTGAGAAATCCCCACGTGGAAACCTGGGAGGGGCGGGCATGGATCTTCCCCAGCTCGGGGGGGGGAGAGATTTGTCCCACCCAAGGAGGCAGGGGAGACACGGAATGGCTTACGTCCGTCCGCATGGCCTCCCAAGGGAACTGCCACCCCAGAGGTCTCTCAAGGAGGCAGTGGATGGCATTGGAAGGTATTTGGGTCTCCCAATGAGGTGGATCCAACCCAATGCTTGGCCAGGATGACTGCTGTTGTGATCAATAAAGTTGTGACCTCTTTTTCTTCAATTATGTTGTGTGTGTGTGTGTCAGTTAATTCAGTTAATTAAGGACCAGCCAGCTTAGCAGTAGACCATCAAGGAAGGTTTGGCAGAGCTCAGTCTAGGAAAGCCTCAAAGCCTTCTCACGTTAGGCATTTCCTGCAAGTGCCTGACATGGAGGCATTCTGAGAATCTTTCCCAACCTAACAAGAGGATGTAAGCTGCTAAAATTAAGAAAGAGATCTGCTGCATCGGCCAGAATACATGAGGTGAAATGCCAGTGCAAAGAAGGTTGTTGTTGTTTAGTCATTTAGTCGTGTCCGACTCTTCATGACCCCATGGACCAAAGCACGCCAGGCCCTCCTGTCTTCCCCTACCTCCCGGAGTTGGGTCAAATTCATGTTGGTCGCTTCAATGACACTGTCCAGTCATCTCGTTCTCTGTCGTCCCCTTCTCCTCTTGCCTTCACACTTTCCCAACATCAGCGTGCAAAGAATAATTAATGCTAGAAGATTGCTAATTACTGGTCTGCAAAATCAGGCTTTGATCCTCCACACGTTCTCAGTTTGGAAATACTATCAGCATTTGCTGTTGCACGTGACTGGAAATTGTTATGACTGTGTGAATAGAGATCTTCTCAGGATCAGGACTCAGTGGGAGAGGCATTCTGTGAATTTACCCCTGTCTATATAGTTGGTGGCTGTATGTGCGTGCAAATTTTCCAGATAAAGATCTGTGTATGATCACAATACTAACTAACATGCAGAGATTCCCTCCACCTTGTTTTTAGTTTCTTTTTTTAAACAAACCTATATCATCTCCCAGAAGTTGAGAAAATGATTAACCCTGGAGAAAGCCAGACAGACCATTTGACGATTCTCTTGTTGATTCTTCGATATTTTCCTTCCTCTTGCCAAAGCGGTGCCATCAAAAAGGATTAGCTCTCTGTGCATGTGGCTGGAGAGCCAGTTGAGGAAGAGTAGGAAGAGATACCGCGTGAGGATTTTGCTTAGGTGGGAGACAGATCACCTCTGCCTGAGTCTGCTGGCTGTCCCTCTCTGCTTGGATCTCCCTGTTTGTTTTGCTCCTGAAAACCTCTTGTTGGACTTAGAGGCTAGATTCTGCTTTTTGATCTGAAATCACTAAAGACCTGAAATCTGCCTCAGGCCAGGACTAGCTAGACAATGGAAGTACTTTCTCAACCCATTGCCAAAATCCTGGATTTAGTCACAGAATCCTGTTAGCTTATTTTTCTCTATTAATTCCTGAATCTAACCTGGGCCTGCACTTCCTGAATCAAGGAGCTGGCTTGGCAGCACCAGCCAATTTCCATGAATGCTGGTTCCAAGATGAGATCCTTTGAACCAAGGCCTGGTGAATCTGTTTCAGAGCTCAGGTGAACAGCGATGCTCGTGGCACCTCTTGATTCCTCCTCCAGCATAGGATAGGAAGGAAGATTTACTGTGAGACGTGGACACCAAACGAAGGCTATTAGGGTTTACTCTTAGGAGATGCAGCACAGATTTGAATAGATTACCCCAATATTTGAGTCCACATTGTCTTCATTATCCTATCTTCTTCAACTCCTCCCCATCTACTTACCTCTCTCCTTCATTCCCTCTTCCTTTTACCTATAGATGAAGCATGGGGCCAGCAGCAAAGTGTCTGTATGCTACGCACCCACAAAGTGGAGGCATTGGCATGGAACAGTGCAGTAGTAGGGTCCACACGAGCAGATCCTGTACGGGAGCGAATTGAAACAAAGCAGGGGGAAAGTCTACTATTAATCAGAACAAAATCCTGGAAAGCAAGAGATTTTTGGTCCTCAGTGGTCAGTGTGGATCCTGCTTGTTACACTGCTTCTTTAATATTTGGCATATTTACGAATATGCACATAGGGTATTGTTGGAAGCAAACCGCTAGTCTCTGGATATTGCAAGCAGTTTTTTTTCTCTCCTCATATTAGGTCCCTACGGTGACATATATGCACCCTGAGATACCTTCCAAATCCACAGCCAGCTCCATCACTCACAGTCTTTAAAACATACTTGTAGCTTAGGGAAGCAGGCCGCCTTTATGAAACCACTCTTTAGCAAGGAACTCCTCTCCAGCGAAATCTCCCGTCCATCCTTGTCTATTTGCCTATAATTTGCGTCAATGTATGAAGCATTTCACAAGAACAGAAAGATGAAACTAGAGTCTTTGGTAGCAGAATGTAGAATGTTGTTGCTATTGAACTACATCCAAAAAAGGGACTGAAATTGCAGCCTCATTGTCTGCAGCCTTAGCATGAAGCGAGCTGAAAAACTGGGATAATCCTGATTTAGTGGATGAACATTAACCAACACATAGCTCTGCATCCTTACATCGATGCAAAGATCACACACTTCATGCTCTCTCTGTATTGCCAGAAGTTTATGATGAAGTATAATAACACATTTCACCGAATAAGCACATGATTTGTTGGTCATACATGTATTAGTTCAATAATCCTTGCAGCAACCCAAACCTGAACCAGTCTGGCACGAGTGTTCAGCTTTGTAGATGGGATGCAGACATGAGGCTAAGTGTGGGCACAATAATTTGAGGTGACCCAAGCAGGATCCCAAACTTTCAGGAATCACCAATTGTGGAGAAGCTATCCCTGTTGAATATCTGCAATAGGGATATCTTTA